GCCCAGTCTTTTGACAGCTATCTTAAATCAATGACGGGAATGTAATTTTTTGAAATGATGGAGCGGGTACTTTTTCTGAAATGACTGGAGATGAAAAAGCATCTGAATGAATGGAGAATTTTAAGTGTCTGAAAGGGGAGGGAGCTTTGAAGCTTTTTGAAATAAATGGAAAATGTTAGCTGTCTGAAATAAACTGGAGCATGTAAGTTTATTAAATAAATGCTGGAGCTGTAATTTTGAAAGCTGGAGCTTTGTAAGCTATCTTAAATCAAAAACGGGCTTTGTTTTCTTTTTTTAAAAGGGACGGACCCATGAAGTATCTTAAATAAATAAACTGGAGCATGTAATTTTTCCGAAATGACTGGAGGGGGGTAAGCTATCTTAAATCATGACTGGAGCATGTAAGTATTAAAAGGGATGGAGAGTAAGCATCTAAACAATGACTGGAGCGTAAGCTATCTGAAAGGACTGGGCATGAAAGCTATCTGAAATGAGGGGCCCGTAAGCTACTAAAGGGACTGGAGAATGTAACTTTTGGAAATTTATGGACTGTAAGCTGTCTGAAATGACGGGGGCATGTAAGCGTTAAAGACGGGAGAAAGGAAGGGCTGTCTGAAAGGATGGAGCAGGAAGCTATTAAATGCCTGGAAAATTGTACCCCACTGAAAGGGACGGGAGATGAAGTTTATCTAAAAAGGACGGGAGATGTAAGTTTTGAAAAAAGGGGGAAAGATGTAAGCTGTCTGAAAGGGATGGAGCAGAAAGTATTTTAAAAGGGACTGGACCCTGGAAAAGCTATTGAAAGACTGGAGCATGAAGCGGTCTAAAAATAAACTGGAGTGTAAGTTTTCTGAAAGACGGGAGCATTTTAAGCTGTCTAAAAGGGACTGGAGCATGTAAAAAAATCTAAATGACGGGAGCATGTAAGTTTGAAATGAGGGGAGATGAAAGAATCTGAAATGACTGGAGATGAAAAGCTATCGGGAAAGTGGAGCATGAAAGGGCTGTCTGAAAGCTGGAGCGGAAGCTAGGAAAAGTGGAGCATTAAGCATCTCAAATGACAAAGCTTTGTAAGTTTTCTGAAATGACTGGGAAATGAAAGCGTTAAAATGACGGGAGCAGTAACCCTTTTGAAATGATGGAGCATGAAAGGCTTTCTAAAAAGGGGAGGGAGAAGGGAAGATTTTGAAATGACGGAGCATGAAAGGGGGTTTTCTGAAAGACGGGAGCATGAAAAGTTTTCTGAAATGACTGGAGCATGAAAGCTTTTCTAAAATTGACTGGAGCATGTAAGCTGTCGGAAAGGGGAAAATTTGAAAAACAATGTGCCCCAATCATTTCCCAAAGACCCCCAAATAAAAAGCTTTTAAATTTAGTTTCCCCAAAAACCCATGGAATGTCTTTAATAAATCTCTCGATTGTCTTTAGTAAAAGGGGGTGGTGAAGGGTTTTGATGATGCCTTTTTTATACAGTGAAAAGTTTCATGATGGTGATGGCTAATGAAGAGACAAAGATGTGTGCAGTGAGTTAGCTTGTTAGGGACGATATAAAGAGTTCCTCTTCTAGGATGAAAAGAGGGAGGTTGTTTGTAGATCTAAGGTAAGGGGTTAGGTTTTGTTTAGCCTTAGGGGCAATGAAGCCCCTTTATGGGCCGGGTTTAAAGGATTTAAAATAAAACCCCCTCTACTTTATGAGCTGGTTTTCATTAATCCTAGCGCTCAAAATATCCTGCCCAATTTTGCTCAAACCCCTAGCTCCAATATGCCCGGGTGACCATTTATCCCAACCCCCCTTTGGGGGAAAAGAACCACCTTTTCTGTGATCTTGGAAAAGGAAATGGTTCTTCTCCCCCTCTTCAATTTCCGGGTTGAGGGAGGGGAAGGGGCCGTTGGGGAAACCCCCTGTTGCCAGGGGACCAGGTGGTTGTAAATTAAAGACGGGAGCTCAGTGGAAACAAAAAGGAATCATCTCAAATTTGGGCAAAGGTTTTACAAGACCCCATTCCCCCCAAAAATGTTAGCCCGGTATGTTAAAAATAAAAACCCCCCCTAAACAATAAAAAGTAAAGCCAAAGGTTTTTTTATATCTTTATTTTCTCTCCCATTTTTTTTTTCAAAATATATTATTTATATTTTATTATTATATATATATATATTAAAATTTTTTTTATGATATGTATAGGTTTTTGTATTATTTTAAAATTATCTGTATTAAATATTTTTTTCAAATAAAATTATATGGCCCTAAATATATTTTTGGGAATATATATTATAGGAAATTCTATAAAGATGGGAAAAGAAATATAAAAAGGTAAAAGTAAAACCTTTAATTGGAAATTATAACTAAGAAACAAAAAAATAAGGGGGAAAATTTTAAACAAAAGGAAAATTATTAAACCGATGAAACTTTAGTAAAACGAAAAAATAAATATAGCAAATTAAAATAATTGGAAAAGGAAAGAAAAGGGAAAAAAAAAAGGCAACAAGGGGAAGGGAAAAATAAAAAGAAAATAAAGAAAGGAAAAAAAAGAAAAAAAAAACTAAAAAAGAAGAATAAAACAAGAGGGGAAAAAGAAAGGGAAAAAAAACTTTTGAAAAAACAAGGAAAAAAAAAAACAAAAAAACCCTAAAAAAAGAAAAAATAAATAATAAAAAACTAAAAGTAATTACCCAACAAAAAAACATAATTTTAAAAAGAAAAAAAATATAAAAAAAACAACCTAATAAGAAAAAAATTTTTTTTAAAATTCCATATACCGAAAAAATTAAAAGGGACAAACATATGAAAAACCATCTTTACCCCGGGGAAACAAAATTTAATTTTAAAACCCTTTATCTAAAAAAATATAATTTTAAATTTTAAAAATCTCTTCCCCCCGTCCTCCTCTCCCCCCCCTTTCTTTTCCCCCGGGGCCCCCTCACCCCCTTTTCCCCGGTTTTTCCCTTCCCTTTTCTCTCGGTCCCCCCTCTCTCTCGGGCCCTCTCTTTTCTGTCACCCTAAACCCCAAAACCAAAAGGGCCAAATTAGATTTCAGTTTGTGGTTCCCTGAGCCAGCTGGTAGAGGCCCCCGGCGATTGTAACGCCCCGGGGAGTGGGTTCGTCCCCCCGGCCCCCCCATACACGAAAAAAGGGATGCACCCCACGATGTAAGTCGTTTGGGTAAAAGGTTTGGCTAAATGGCTTATTATTTTTTATTTTTATGTTTTTTGGGGGGCTTTTTTTTATTAAAAACACACCCGGTTTATTTTTTCTAAGTGACCACCCCCGTCTAAAATTTTTTCCTTTATGTTTTAAGGACCCCCCCCGTTCATATCTTTTGATGTCTATAGTGACCCTCCCCCCCCAGTCTTTATTTTTCTTCCCCCATTTTCTATAGTGGGGCCCTTCCCCCAGTCTAAAATCTTCTGAGGGCTATAGTGACCCTCCCCGTCCAAAATTTTTGATGGGTTTTAGTGGTCATGCTTTAGAACTCCACAGAAATAGGGCCCGGGGAGGCCTTTTGGGGTCTAGGGGGGGTGTGTTTGGGGGTGTGTGGTGTTTTCGGGGTGGGTGGGGGGTGGGGTATGGCTAAAACCCCCCCCCCCGCTTTTTTGTTATCCCCCAACAGAGCCTGGAAAATTGTTTACACCCTGCGGGCGGAAGGTTAAAATTTTGAATGTTGGCTATGCTTGTCCCCCCTGGTGGGCCAGGTCAATAGGGCCCTTTGCCCCTTTTGCCCCCCCCGAGCTTAGGTAATCCCTTAATATAGCCGGGACACATTCCTTTTTCACATGCAAAAACAGGGCCCCACCAACAAAATGCCCCAAAATAATGAGACTTTTTTTGACGGGAAAGAACTGCTGCTCCATTACATCTTTTAAAAGGGGTCAAGGATTTAGGGTTTTTGGGTTTAAAGGGAAACTATTTTTAAAAATTTTAATGCTAACTAAAAAAATGCGTGGGGTTTCGACAGGCAGGAATGGAATGCACTGGTTTCCCCCAGAGGGCACACTTATAGGAGTTCTCAGGTGTGTTGGGTTTGGAAAAGACAGATGGACGGGAAAGAACCCCAAAAATTGTGTTGAGGAAGGGTGGGGGTTTTAAGAGGCCCCCTAGTTTTTAGAGAGAGAAGGGGGAGAGGGAGAGAGAGGGAGAGAGAGGGAGAGAGAGAGAGAGAGAGAGAGAGACTTACAAAGACCCTAGGATTGGAGGTATGACAACAACAGTACCATATTGTGTGTGTCCAAGTGCAGCGAGAGAGATGTTGAATCTGTGTCTACCAGCCTCTGGCAGCTTTAAGGCACATGCTATGACCTCACTCTCTGACCCGGCTAGCTAGGGGCCAGCCAGTCAGTGTGCCTATAGCCTGGTCCTGTCTAAGTGAGGAGTGGGAACGACAAACGCCGGGCAACCAAAGCATACGAGACACTCTGCCCCCACTGCACACAGGCCAGGCTAGCCACACCACTAAAAGTAGTGCACTATATAGGGAATAGGATGCCATTTCAGGTACAACCACTCTGTCTCATTGTCCCTGGCCCTGACTGGCTGGATAGTCTGTCCTCATTGTCCCTGGCACTGACTGGCTGGATAGTCTGTCCTCATTGTCCCCAGTCCTGACTGGCTGGATAGTCTGTCCTCATTGTCCCTGGCCCTGACTGGCTGGATAGTCTGTCCTCATTGTCCCCAGTCCTGACTGGCTGGATAGTCTGTCCCTCATTGTCCCTGGCCCTGACTGGCTGGATAGTCTGTCCTCATTGTCCCTGGCCCTGACTGGCTGGATAGTCTGTCCTCATTGTCCCTGGCCCTGACTGGCTGGATAGTCTGTCCTCATTGTCCCAGTCTTGATTGGCTGGATAGTCTGTCCTCATTGTCCCCAGTCTTCTTGATTGGCTGGATAGTCTGTCCTCATTGTCCCCAGTCTTCTTGATTGGCTGGATAGTCTGTCCTCATTGTCCCCAGCCCTGACTGGCTGGATAGACTGTCCCCATCTAACCCTGGACTACACTACACTGGGTCTCTAACCCTGGACTACACTACACTGGGTCTCTGGTTCACCTGCCTGACTAACTGACTGGCTGGCTGGCTGACTGGGAGGCTGTAGAGTAAAGAGGTCTCTCTTTTTCTGTTCTCTCATCCCTCTACTCTGGAACACCTGAACCTCTGCTGAGACCTCATGCTGCACAAGCGGCGTAGAGAGAGGCGCGACGAGCGAGAGAAGAGGACGAGAGAGAGAGAGAGAGGCCGGCGCGAGAGAGAGGAGAAAGGCAGCGGAGCGAAGAGCGACAAGGACGGAGGAGAGCAGAAACGGAAGAGAGAGAGAGAGAAGGAAGAGCGCGGAGAAAGGAAGAGAGGAGAGAGAACGGAAGAGACAAACGCGAGAGAACGGAACCGAGAGAGAGAGCGAAGCGAGAGAAGAGCGGAAAGCGAAGAGAAGCGGAGAGAGAGAAGAGGAAGAGAGAGAGAGAGAAAAGGAAGAGAGAGATGAGAGAAAGGCGAAGACGGACGGAGAGAGAGAGGAAGAGCAGAGCGGAGAGAGCGCATACGAAGAGAGAGCAGAAGAGAGCGAAGAGCAAGGAAGGCGAGAGAGACTAGGACGAGAGACGAGAGAAGGAGAGAGAGGAGAGAAGCAAGATAAGCCTCATCCTGCTGCTATATGCTACATACGCTGAGAGATCTATCCATCCAGAGCGGGGATCGTCTCTCCGCTTCCTCTCGTCTCCTACCTTCCTCATCCTCCTCTTTCTCCTCCTTCTCTCAGCATTAGCTCTCCTCCCTGCCTCTCTCTCTCTCCCTTCATCTCTTGATCTCTATTGTTACAGACTGGGAGGGGGAGGGGAGGGAGGAAAACGCCAGCAACAGAGGATGGCAGGATGCTATTTAAATTGAAGCCAGAGTCCATGAGATGTGGGAAGGAGAGAGACAGCGAGGAGAGAGAGAAAGAGGTAGAGCGAGAGAGAGAGAAGAGAGGAGAGCGATGAGGTTGGAGAGAGAGAGAGAGAGAGAGAGAGAGAGAGAGAGAGAGAGAGAGAGAGAATATGACAAAGCTTCCCTTATGTCCAGTGTTCAGGCCAGCAGTGTTGGTAATGTGAGGCTGCAGTAGGAAGGTTAGGCTAGTCAGGGCAGTGTTGACTCAGTAAAGTCTAAACACTGAATGACTCTGTAGTCCAGGAGGGTTCAGGTAGCTACGGTACCACTGGGCAAACACCTGGACCATACAACACACTGACTGACTGACTGACTGCTGTACCGTAGGATGTGTCACTGTCTACCACTATCTACCACTGTCTACCACTATCTACCAGCCTACCACTATCTACCACTGTCTACCTGTCTACCACTATCTACCAGGCTACCACTATCTACCAGTCTACCACTATCTACCAGTCTACCAGTCTACCACTGTCTACCAGGCTACCACTATCTACCAGGCTACCACTGTCTTTCAGTCTACCACTATCTACCAGTCTACCACTATCTACCAGTCTACCACTATCTACCAGGCTACCACTATCTACCAGGCTACCACTGGTCTTTCAGTCTACCACTATCTACCAGGCTACCACTGTCTTTCAGTCTACCACTATCTACCAGTCTACCACTATCTACCAGTCTACCACTATCTACCAGGCTACCACTATCTACCAGGCTACCACTATCTACCAGGCTACCACTATCTACCAGTCTACCACTATCTACCTGTCTACCACTATCTACCAGTCTACCACTGCCTGCCAGCCTACCACTGTGGGATCAGAAGACTGAGGAGTAGTTGCATAACTTCAGACTTTGGACCCAGCAGTTCTCTGGGAGGGTGGACTTGAGGGGGAAGGGAGGGAAACTAACAAGAAGGAGGCGTGAGAATTACCTGAGGACAGGATTCCAGGTTACTGTTGCTGGAGTTAACAGTGAGGACAGGATTCCAGGTTACTGTTGCTGGAGTTAACAGTGAGGACAGGATTCCAGGTTACTGTTGCTGGAGTTAACAGTGAGGACAGGATTCCAGGTTACTGTTGCTGGAGTTAACAGCGAGGACAGGATTCCAGGTTACTGTTGCTGGAGTTAACAGTGAGGACAGGATTCCATGTATAATTGGTATGGGATATCATATCCCACCAACCCATGCTAACCTGTTCAGCTGAGGGACACTGACTGAACCCAGATGGATTTCATCTAGATCTGGACCTCCGTTGACATGCTCTAGTCATGTGCTTGATGTAATGGAACACAGCCGTTATCAATTCTGTTTGTCCTAACACATGGTGATCCTATCTGTGCTTTGGATTAGCTGAACCCATTCTGAGGTGACAGGAAGAAGTACTTAGGATATTCTTATTGTCCTATGTGGATAGGACTTGGGACTTGACTCTGGCCATCACCAGAGGATGGAAGAGACCTCAGACATCAGTAGTGATTTTGACAGGTATGTGGATGGCCTCTGTATTGACCTAACAACAGGTAGACTTACAGGTATGTGGATGGCCTGTATCTGTCTGGCTGTACCTAAAACGATAGAGACAATTTATTTAGTTCTTACAAAGGGAAACCAAAATTTCTGTGTAAGATTGTGCCTAAGAGAAAAAAGGTCTTCTGCTCAGTACAATCTCTCTCTTTCTCTTCTCTTATCTCTCTCTATGTTCTTGTCTTTGTCTAGTATTTCGTGGGGCTATCTCGTTGTCCTCTGCTATGTCTATCTCTCGATCGTCTCTCCTGCTATGTCTCTATCTATATTTTGTTCTATCTTCGTATACTCTTTTTTTATGGGTGCGCTACCATTCTGGTCTAGTATTATCCTCTTTCTGCTGGTATCTGTCTCTGGTCTTGTCTCTTCTGTATGCTTAGGTGATCTTCTGGCTCTCTAGTTGGCTATATCTATGCGGAAAAAAAAGGGGGGGTTTAAAATTGTCTTTGAGAGATTAAGCAAGGGAAAAATAGGGAGGATAGCGGAACGAGAAAAGAGATCCGACTCTTGTCCCTTTCTTAATCTCCTCTCTCTCTTCCTCTCTCTTCTCTCTATTCAATCAATTTAATTTCAATTTAAGGGCTTTATTGGCATGGGAAACGTATGTTAACATTGCCAAAGCAAGTGAAGTAGATAGTAACAAAAGTGAACTAAATATAAATATTAACAGTAAACATTACACTCAGAAGTTCCAAAAGAATAAATACATTTCAAATGTCATATTTTGTACGTACAGTTGAAGTCGGAAGTTTACATACACCTTAGCCAAATACATTTAAACTCAGTTTTTCACAATTCCTGACATTTAATCCTAGTAAAAATTCCCTGTCTTAGGTCAGTTAGGATCACCACTTTATTTTAAGAATGTGAAATGTCAGAATAATATAGAGAGAGAATGATTTATTTCAGCTTTTATTTATTTCATCACATTCCCAGTGGGTCAGAAGTTTACATACACTCAATTAGTATTGGTAGCATTGCCTTTAAATTGTTTAACTTGGGTCAAACGTTTCGGGTAGCCTTCCACAAGCTTCCCACAATAAGTTGGGTGAATTTTGGCCCATTCCTCCTGACAGAGCTGGTGTTGGTAACTGAGTCAGGTTTGTAGGCCTCCTTGCTCGCACACGCTTTTTCAGTTCTGCCCACTAATGTTCTATAGGATTGAGGTCAGGGCTTGTGATGGCCACTCCAAACCTTGACTTTGTTGTCCTTAAGACATTTTGCCACAACTTTGGAAGTATGCTGACAGTAAATCTCAGTAAGACAAAAAATAATGGTGTTCCAATAATGTTTGGAAGACCCATTTGCGACTAAGATTTAAACTTCCTGACTGATGTTGGAGATGTTGGCTTCAATATATCCACATAATTTTATTTCCTCATGATTCCATCTATTTGTGAAGTGCACCAGTCCATCCTGCAGCAAAAGCACCCCCCCAGCATGATGCTGTTACCCCCGTGCTTCACGGTTTGGATGTGTTCTTCGGCTTGCAAGGAACTCCCTTTTTCCTCCAATATAACGATGGTCATTATGGCCAAACAGTTATATTTTTGTTTCATCAGACCAGAGGACATTTCTCCAAAAAGTACGATCTTTGTCCCCATGTGCAGTTGCAAACCGTAGTCTGGCTTTTTTATGGCGGTTTTGGAGCAGTGGCTTCTTCTTTGCTGAGCGGCCTTTCAAGTTATGTCGAATATAGAATCGTTTTACTGTGGATTATAGATACTTTTGTACCTGTTCCTCCAGCATCTTCACAGGGTCCTTTGTGTTGTTCTGGGATTGATTGCCATTTTCGCACCAAAGTAGTTCTCTATAGGCAACAGAACGCGTCTCCCTTCCTGAGCGGTTATGACGGCTGCGTGGTCCCCATGGTCTTTCTACTGGCTTACTATTGTTTGACAGATGAAAGTGTACCTTCAGATGTTTGGAATTGACTCCAAAGGTGAACCGATGTGGAGGTCTACAATTTTTTTTCTGAGGGTCTTGGCCTGATTTCTTTTGATTTTCCCATGATGTCAAGCAACAGAGGACACTCTGAGTTTTGAAGGGTAGGCTGTGAAATACAGCAAGGGTACCACACTCCCAATGATCAAATGATGGCAATTAGCTAATACGAAGCTTCTAAAGCATGACATCATTTTCTGAATGTCCAAGCTTTTTTAAAGGCACAGTCAACTTAGTGTATGTAACTTCTGACCCACTGGAATTGTGATACAGTGAATTATAAGTGAAATAATCTGTCTGTAAACAATTGTTGGAAAAATTACTTGTCATGCACAAAGTAGATGTCCTAACCGCCTTGCCGAAACTATAGTTTGTTAACAAGAAATGTGTGGAGTGGTTGAATAACGAGTTTTAATGACTCCAACCTAAGTGTATGTAAACTTTCGACTTCAACTGTATACAGTGTTGTAACAATGTGCAAATAGTTAAAGTACAAATGGGAAAATAAATAAACATAAATATGGGTTGTATTTACAATGGTGTTTGTTCTTCACTGGTTGCCCTTTTCTTGTGGCAACAGGTCACAAGTCTTGCAGCTGTGATGACACACTGGTTTTTCACACAGTAGATAAATAATAATAATAATAATATGCCATTTAGCAGACGCTTTTATCCAAAGCGACTTACAGTCATGCGTGCATAAATTTTTTTTGTGTATGGGTGGTCCCGGGGATCGAACCCACTACCTTGGCGTTACAAGCGCCGTGCTCTACCAGCTGAGCTACAGAGGACCACAGATAAGGGAGTTTATCAAAATTGGCTTTGTTTTTGAATTCTTTGTGGATCACTGTAATCTGAGGGAAATATGTGTCTCTAATACGGTCATACAAGTGCAGCTCAGTTTCCACCTCATTTTGTGGGCAGTGTGCACATAGCCTGTCTTCTCTTGAGAGCCAGGTCTGCCTACGGCGGCCTTTCTCAATAGCAAGGCTATGCTCACTGTGTCTGTACATAGTCAAAGCTTTCCTTAAGTTTGGGTCAGTCACAGTGGTCAGGTATTCAGCCACTGTGTATTCTCTGTTTAGAGCCAAATAGCATTCTAGTTTGCTCTGTTTTTTTGTTTGTACTTTCCAATGTGTCAAGTAATTCTCTTTTTGTTTTCTCATGATTTGGTTGGGTCTAATTGTGTTGTTGTTGTTGTCCTGGGGCTCTGTGGGGTCTGTTTGTGTTTGTGAACAGAGCCCCAGCACCAGCTTGCTTAGGGGACTCTTCTCCAGGTTCATCGCTCTGTAGGTGATGGCTTTGTTATGGAAGGTTTGGGAATCGCTTCCTTTTAAGTGGTTATAGAATTTAACAGCTCTTTTCTGGATTTTGATAAATGCGGGTATCGGCCTAATTCTGCTCTGCATGCATTATTTGGTGTTTTTCGTTGTACACAGAGGATATTTTTGCAGAATTCTGCATGCAGAGTCTCAATTTGGTGTTTGTCCCATTTTGTGAATTCTTGGTTGGTGAACGGACCCAGACCTCACAACCATAAAGGTCAATGGGTTCTATAACTGATTCAAGTATTTTCAGCCAGATCCTAATTGGTATGTCGAATTTTATGTTCCTTTTGATGGCATAGAAGGCCCTTCTTGACTTCACAGCTTTGTGGAAGTTACCTGTGGCGCTGATGTTTAGGCCAAGGTATGTATAGTTTTTTGTGTGCTCTAGGGCAACGGTGTCTAGATGGAATTTGTATTTGTTGTCCTGGCAACTGGACCTTTTTTGGAACCCCCATAATTTTTGTCTTACTGAGATTTACTGTAAGGGCCCAGGTCTGACAGAATCTGTGAAGAAGATTAGGTGCTGCTGTAGGCACTCCTTGGTTGGTGACAGAAGCACCAGATCATCAGCAAACAGTAGACATTTGACTTCAGATTCTAGTAGGGTGAGGCTGGGTGCTGCAGACTGTTCTAGTGCCCTCGCCAATTTGTTGATATATATGTTGAAGAGGGTAGGGCTTAAACTGCATCCCTGTCTCACCCCACGGCCCTGTGGAAATAAATAGTTTGTGTAGATGGATTTTATAATGTCGTATGTTTTTCCCCCAACCCCACTTTCCATTCATTTGTATAGCAGACCCTCATGCCAAATTGAGTCAAAAGCTTTTTTGAAATCAACAATGTTAAAGAGTTAAGTATAGCCAATTGGAATTTGTGGTCTGTATATTTTATCATTTCATTGAGGATACTATCAACACCACAGGCCTTTTGGGGTTGGAGGGTTGGTATTTTGTCCTGTAGTTCATTCAATGTAATTGGATAATCCAGTGGGTTCTGGTAGTCTTTAATAGTTGATTCTAAGATTTGTATTTGATCATGTATATTTTTTTTGCTGTTTGTTCTTTGTTATAGGGCCAAAATGATTGGAGAAGTGGTTTACCCATACGTCTCCGTTTTGGATAGATAGCTCTTCGTGTTGTTGTTTGTTTAGTGTTATCCAATTTTCCCAGAAGTGGTTAGAGTCTATGGATTCTTCAATTACAGTGAGCTGATTTCTGGCATGCTGTTCCTTCTTTTTCCGTAGTGTATTTCTGTATTGTTTTAGTGATTCACCATAGTGAAGGCGTAGGCTCAGGTTTTCTAGGTCTCTATGTTTTGGGTTGGATAGGTTTCTCAATTTCTTTCTTAGGTTTTTGCATTCTTCATCAAACCATTTGTCATTGTTGTTACTTTTTGATTTGATAGGGAAGCTGAGAGGTCAAATATACTGAAGTTTACACCTTCACTATTACAGTTGAATGTTTTGTCCAGGAAGTTGTCTAAAAGGGATTGAATTTGTTGTTGCCTAATTGTTTTTTGGTAGGTTTCGACACTACTTTCCTTCCATCTATAGCATTTCTTAATATTATTCAGCTCTTTTGGCTTTGATGCCTCATGATTGATTATTGCTCTGTTCAAGTAGACTGTGATTTTGCTGTGGTCTGATAGGGGTGTCAGTGGGCTGGCTGTGAACGCTCTGAGAGACTCTGGGTTGAGGTCAGTGATAAAGTAGTCTACAGTACTACTGCCAAGAGATGAGCTGTAGGTGTACCTACCATAGGAGTCCCCTCGAAGCCTACCATTGACTATGTACATACCCAGCGTGCGACAGAGCTGCAGGAGTTGTGATCCGTTTTTGTTGGTTATGTTGTCGTAGTTGTGCCTAGGGGGGCAAATGGGGGAGGGAATGCTGTCACCTCAAGGTAGGTGTTTGTCCCCCTGTGTGCTGAGGGTGACAGGTTCTTGTCCAGTTATGGCATTTAGGTCGCCACAGACTACATGTCCCTGGGTCTGGAAATGATTGATTTCCCCCTCCAGGATGGAGAAGCTGTCTTCATTAAAGTATGGGGACTCTAGTGGGGGGATATAGGTAGCACACAGGAGGACATTTTTCTCTGTTGCGATAATTTTGTTTTGAATTTCTAACCAAATGTAAAATATTCCTGTTTTGATTAATTTAATAGAGTGAGTTAGGTCTGCTGTATACCAAATTAGCATACCCCCTGAGTCCCTTCCCTGTTTCACACCTGGAAGTTTGTTGGATGGGACTACCAGCTCTCTGTAACCTAGAGGGCACCCACTCTCGCGCTCTCTCTCCGCACTCTCTCTCTCTCCGCACTCTCTCTCTCTCCCCGCACTCTCTCTCTCTCTCCCCACTCTCGCTCTCTCTCCCCACTCTCGCTCTCTCTCCCCACTCTCGCTCTCTCTCCCCGCTCTATATCTCTCTCTCTCTCCACTCTTTCTCTCAAATAAATTCAATTAAATTTGCTTTATTGGCATGACGTAACAATGTACATATTGCCAAAGCTTACTTTCGATATTTACACTATTAACATAATTAAAATAATAATAATCAATATTGTCAATGGGACAACAGTATTTTCTTTTGAACCCAACCCTTGATCTGTACTTCTCCACAACTTTCTCCCTGACCTGTTTGGTGGTGCCCCTTGCTTAGTGGTGTTGCAGACTCTGGGGCCTTTCAGAACAGGTGTATATATACTGAGATCATGTGACACTTAGATTACACACAGGTGGACTTTATTTAACTAATTATGTGACCTCTGAAGGTAATTGGTTGCACCAGATCTTATTTAGGGGCTTCATAGCAAAGGGGGTGAATACATATGCACGCGCCACTTTTCCGTTATTTATTTTTGAGAATTTCTTTAAACAAGTTATTTTTTTCATTTCACTTCACCAATTTTGACTATTTTGTGTATGTCCATTACATGAAATCCAAATAGTAATCCATTTAAATTACAGGTTGTAATGCAACAAAGTAGGAAAAACGCCAAGGGGGATGAATACTTTTGCAAGGCACTGTAATTGCTCTGTTTTTTGTTTTTATTATTAGTGGATATTGGCCTAATTCTGCCCTGCATGCATTGTTTGTAGTTTTCCTCTGGACATGTAGGATAATCTTACAGAACTCTGCATGCAGGGTTTCAATGGGGTGTTTGTCCCATTTGGTGAAATCTTGTTTTGCAAGTGGACCCCACACCTCGCTGCCATAAAGTGCAATTGGTTGAATGACACATTCAATTCGTTTTAGCCAAATTTGAATAGGTATTTGAATTTGAATTTGTTTTTTAATGGCGTCGAATGCCGTGTGTGTTTTCTCTCTCTGTTCATTCACTGCATCATTAAGGTGTCCAGTTGAGCTTATTTGTAAACCTAAGTAATTGTAGTGTGTGCAGTACTCTATATATTTTGTACCAATTGAGATCTGGATCTTCTCTGGAAAATCATTATTTTAGTATTTTTGGGGTTTACTGCCAGGGCCCAGGTCTGGCAGTACTGCTCTAGCAGGTCCAGGCTCTGCTGTAGGCCATGTGCTGTGGGTGACAGCAGGAATAGGTCATCTGCCAAGAGCAGGCATTTAACCTCTGTATTGTGGAGACTATCACCAGGGGCTGGAGATTTTTCTAGAATAGTGGCCAATTCGTTGATGTAAATATTGAGGAGTGCAGGGCTCAGATTGCAACCCTGGCGAAGGGTATTATTTTGGTGGACATGTTTATCTATCAGGGTGTGTAGGGTGTAAATACAGTGGGGGGAAAAAGTATTTAGTCAGCCACCAATTGTGCAAGTTCTCCCACTTAAAAAGATGAGAGAGGCCTGTAATTTTCATCATAGGTACACGTCAACTATGACAGACAAAATGAGAAAAAAAATCCAGAAAATCACATTGTAGGATTTTTAATGAATTTATTTGCAAATTATGGTGGAAAATAAGTATTTGGTCACCTACAAACAAGCAAGATTTCTGGCTCTCACAGACCTGTAACTTCTTCTTTAAGAGGCTCCTCTGTCCTCCACTCGTTACCTGTATTAATGGCACCTGTTTGAACTTGTTATCAGTATAAAAGACACCTGTCCACAACCTCAAACAGTCACACTCCAAACTCCACTATGGCCAAGACCAAAGAGCTGTCAAAGGACACCAGAAACAAAATTGTAGACCTGCACCAGGCTGGGAAGACTGAATCTGCAATAGGTAAACAGCTTGGTTTGAAGAAATCAACTGTGGGAGCAATTATTAGGAAATGGAAGACATACAAGACCACTGATAATCTCCCTCGATCTGGGGCTCCACACAAGATCTCACCCCGTGGGGTCAAAAATGATCACAAGAACGGTGAGCAAAAATCCCAGAACCACACGGGGGGACCTAGTGAATGACCTGCAGAGAGCTGGGACCAAAGTAACAAAGCCTACCATCAGTAACACACTACGCCGCCAGGGACTCAAATCCTGCAGTGCCAGACGTGTCCCCCTGCTTAAGCCAGTACATGTCCAGGCCCATCTGAAGTTTACTAGAGTGCATTTGGATGATCCAGAAGAGGATTGGGAGAATGTCATATGGTCAGATGAAACCAAAATATAACTTTTTGGTAAAAACTCAACTCGTTGTGTTTGGAGGACAAAGAATGCTGAGTTGCATCCAAAGAACACCATACCTACTGTGAAGCATGGGGGTGGAAACATCATGCTTTGGGGCTGTTTTTCTGCAAAGGGACCAGGACGACTGATCCGTGTAAAGGAAAGAATGAATGGGGCCATGTATCGTGAGATTTTGAGTGAAAACCTCATTCCATCAGCAAGGGCATTGAAGATGAAACATGGCTGGATCTTTCAGCATGACAATGATCCCAAACACACCGCCCGGGCAACGAAGGAGTGGCTTCGTAAGAAGCATTTCAAGGTCCTGGAGTGGCCTAGCCAGTCTCCAGATCTCAATCCCATAGAAAATCTTTGGAGGGAGTTGAAAGTCCGTGTTGCCCAGCGACAGCCCCAAAACATCACTGTTCTAGAGGAGATCTGCATGGAGGAAAGGGCCAAAATACCAGCAACAGTGTGTGAAAACCTTGTGAAGACTTACAGAAAACGTTTGACCTGTGTCATTGCCAACAAAGGGTATATAACAAAGTATTGAGAAACTTTTGTTATTGACCAAATACTTATTTTCCACCATAATCTGCAAATAAATTCATTAAAAATCCTACAATGTGATTTGATTGATTTTTTTCTTCTCATTTTGTCTGTCATAGTTGACGTGTACCTATGATGAAAATTACAGGCCTCTCATCTTTTTAAGTGGAAGAAATTGCACAATTGGTGGCTGACTAAGTACTTTTTTTCCCCACTGTATGATCGGTCGTGCGATGTTTTGTTATAAATCCAATTTGGCTTTTACTCAAGATATTGTGCTTATTAAGGAAGTTTAGGACTCTTACATTTATAATACTACAGAAAACCTTCCCCAGGTTACTGTTCACACAAATGCCTCTGTAATTGTTAGGGTCAAATTTGTCTCCGTTCTTAAAGATTGGGGTTATGAGTCCTTGATTCCAGATGTCAGGGAAATAACCTACACTCAGGGATTCTGAGGGGGGGGGGAGATATATATTGCGCAAAGGAACACATCCCCTGTAGCTCAGTTGGTAGAGCATGGCGCTTGCAACGTCAGGGTTGTGGGTTCGTTTCCCACGGGGGGCCAGTATGAAAAATGTATGCACTCACTAACTGTAAGTCGCTCTGGATAAGAGCGTCTGCTAAATGACTAAAATGTAAATGTAAAAAAATGTAGTAGGTGTCCCCATGTGAACATCCTTGTTGACTAGGGTGGTTGGTATGGGTGAGGGTGGGTCAGTGGGGGTGTTAGGGGAGGTGAGGGGCTGCAGCTTCTCTCTAGGAGTCTGTTCTCTGTGCTGCAGCAGCCTCTTGATGACAGACAACTCCTTTACCATCTCCTCCTTTACCTGCACTAGCCCTCTCCTCATGGTGACCTTTACCTCCTCAAGAGCTATGGTGAGGCCCTCTCCTCATGGTGACCTTTACCTCCTCAAGCTCTGTGGTGAGGCCCTCTCCTCATGGTGACCTTTACCTCCTCAAGCGCTGTGGTGAGGCCCTCTCCTCATGGTGACCTTTACCTCCTCAAGCTCTGTGGTGAGGCCCTCTCCTCATGGTGACCTTTACCTCCTCAAGCTCTGTGGTGAGGCCCTCTCCTCATGGTGACCTTTACCTCCTCAAGCTCTGTGGTGAGGCCCTCTCCTCATGGTGACCTTTACCTCCTCAAGCGCTGTGGTGAGGCTCTCTCTCAGCTCCTGGACAGAGTTCTTCAGCTGGGTCCTGCACTGGTTGATCTGGTCCTGTAGAAGCTCTGTGTCTGGGCTGGAGGTGGTGTAGCTGGGGGGGCTTGCTCCTTTAGCTCAGTAACCCATACCTCTAACAGAGCCAGCCCGTCTCTCAGCAGGCTGATGGTAGTGTGGTCTTGGCTCTGGTGGTCGTAGGCAGGCAGGGGGGAGGACAGACCTGTTGTGTAGGTCTGGGCCTGGGCTCCTGCTGTTGGAGTGTCTGAGGTGAGGGTAGAGGTCGGGGAGCTGTCCTTGTCCTTTTTGGTTTCCGGTATCTTCCTTAGGGTGGGGAAGTCCTGCACTCAGCCTCACTGCCCTGGACCATGACAGTGCCGTTCTGGTACATGTTTACCGTCAGAAACCTGTTTTCCTGGTCCTTCACGCTGTCTTAAAAAATGCAGATGCCTTTCTTTGTCGTATATCTGTAATGTCTGGTTACAGCTGTATGCCAGGCAGTAGTGTGGTCTGTGTAAAATAACAGGTTTTTAGCAGTCCTGTTGTGTGAGCAGTCGGCAAACAAAGTTTCTGGATTCTCCCTCTGTTTTTAAAATTGATTCTTCCCTTCTCTGATTTGATTTCTGCTGGAAATTCAAAAAGGGGGGGGGGGGGGGGGGGAGTCTCTCTGTCTCTGCTGCTGCTGGCGCTGCTATCGCTGCCTCAGTGGCCATGTTGCTCTGGTTACCACCAGTAAACAGTTGGAGCTAGCTGACATTCGAATTTGGCAAGCTAGCACGATTAAGATTGGTCTTTTAACTCACACTCTGTTGATCTTTTCCTCCTGTGTTGATCTTCAGTGTTCAGTTTTGATTACCTATATTTTTTGGCTTAATTTTATTTTGTTATCTCACTTCTGTTGACGAACCAGAAAGTTTATAAGAAGTCAGGAGCTGTCAATCTGCATGAACTCCTCCTCTCCCTTCTGTCTCTCTTTCCTGTCTCTTCTCTGGTCCTGTCTCTTTTCTTTTTTCTTTTCTGTTTTCCCTTTTTCTTCTTTTCTCCTTTTTTTTCTCTTTTTCTTCCCTCTTCCTTTTTTTCTCTCTTCCCCTTTCCCCCTCTTTTCCCCCCTCCTCCCCTTTTTTGCCCCCCCCCCCCCCCCCCTCCTTTTGCCCCCCCCCGCCCCCGGGGGCCCCTTTCCCCCCCCCCCTTTTTCCCCCTTTCCTCCTTTTTTCCCCCCCTTATTTTCCCCTTTTTTCCCCCCCCCCCCCCCTTTTCTTTTTCCCCTTTCCCCCCTTTTTATTCTTTTTTCCCCCTTTGGCCCCCTCCCCCAAAAAAAACCTTGCCCCCCATTTCCCCGAAATTTTTCCCCTCCCAAAAACCCCCAAAATTTCCCCCCCCTTTTTCTCCCCTCCCCTTTTCCCCCCCCCTTTTTCCTCTCCCACCCCCCCCTTTTTCCCCCCCCCTCCTTCCCCCCCAGTTCCCCCCCCCCCCCCCCCCCCTTTTTCCCCCCCCCCCCCTTTCTCCCCCTTTCCCCCCCTACCCCCCCCCCACCAACCCCCCAAATCCCCCCCCTCCCCCAAAAAAAAAAAAAAAAAAAAAAAAAAAACCCCCCCCCCAAAACCCCCCCCCCCCCCCCCCCCAAAAAAAGGGGGCCCCAAAAACCCCCCCCCCCACCTACAAAACCCCCCCCCAAAAACCCCGGGCCCCCCCCCCCCCCCCCGGAGTTTTTCCCCCCCCTTCCCCAAAATTTTCCCCCCCACCCCACCCCCCTTCCCCCCCCCCCGGCAACATTGCAGCTGCATTGATTAATTTCACTCAGCTTTATCTGCCTCTGTTGATCTCTTTCTTTTTCCATTGGTTTGCCGTTTGTAATTTTTGTTTCTCAATTAGACTGTTGGTCTGACTGTCTCTCTCTCTTCTCTATCTCTCTCTTCTTCTCTCTGTCTCTTCTCTCTCGTCTCTCTCTCTCTCTCTCTCTATCTCTTCTTCCGTCTATCTCTTCGCTTCTTATCTCTCTCTCGTCTTCTCTTCTGTACTCCTCTCTTCATTCGTCTCTCATCTCTCTCGTCTCTCTTCTCTCTCCTCTGTCGCTCTCTCGTTTCTCATCTCTCTCTCTCTCCGTCCTCTGTCTTTCCCACCAGACTCTCTTCCCTCTCTCATCTCGCTCTCCTCTCCTCCTAACTCTCTCACTCATCTGTCTCCTCTCCTTCTCTCTCTCTGTCTGCTCTCTCTCTCTGTCGCTCGCTCTCTCTCCCTCTCTCCCTGTCTCTCTCTCTGTCCCTCTCCCTCTCGTTCTTCTCCGTCTCCTCGTATCCTCCTGATCTTGACCATGTCTCTATCCACCTGAACTCTGCCCTGCCCTCAACAAAGGCTCAAATTGTATTGCCCACTCTACCCGACACTCGACCTTTAACCCACGCGACACTTAAGCTAGTCTCAGTCATCCTCTCCCTCACATCCTTCTCCACCCTTCATTCCAACCCTGGCTTGGAGTCCATTCTCCACACTCCACCTTGCAACCCAACCCATGGCTGCCGTCAACTCAAGGCCACCCTTCAAAACCATGGATGGAGTCCATCACTACACAACTAACCTTCAACCCAGACATTAAAGTAGTCTGGAGTCCATCCTCCACACCGCCACCCTTCCACCCAACCCATGTCTGGAGTCCATCCTCCACACCTCCACCCTTCCACCCAACCCATGTCTGGAGTCCATCCTCCACACCTCCACCCTTCCACCTCAACCCATGGCTGGAGTCCATCCTCCACACCTCCACCCTTCCACCTAACCCATGGCTGGAGTCCATCCTCCACACCTCCACCCTTCCACCCAACCCATGGCTGGAGTCCATCCTCCACACCTCCACCCTTCCACCCAACCCAGCTCTCCACTAGGTGCTACTAGGGCTGCGCGATATATCCAATTAATTCCCACATATGCTGAGCACTTGTTGGCTGCTTTTCCTTCACTCTGCGGTTCGACTCATCTGATGCAGCACTCCAACACTCTCCTTCTTGGTAAAATAGACCTTACATAGCCTGGAGGTGTGTTGGGTCATTGTCCTGTTAAAAAACAAATGATAGTCCCACTAAGCCCAAACCAGATGGGATGGCGTATCGCTGTAGAATGCTGGTTAAATGTGCCTTGAATTCTAAATAAATCACTGACAGTCACCGGCAAAGCACCCCCACACCATAACGCCACCTCCTCCATGCTTTACGGTGGGAACTACACATGCGGAGATCATCCGTTCACCCACACATCGTCTCACAAAGACATGGCAGTTGGAACCAAAAATCTCCAATTTGGACCAAAGGACACATTTCCACCGATCTAATGTCTATTGCTCGTGTTTCTTGGCCCAAGCAAGTCTCTTCTTCTTATTGGTGTCCTTTAGTAGTAGTTTCTTTGCAGCAATTCGACCATGAAGGCCTGATTCACACAGTCCCCTCTGTGAAGCATTTATTTGGGCTGCAAATTCTGAGGCTGGTAACTCTAATGAACTTATCCTATGCATCAGAGGTAACTCTGGGTCTTCCATTCCTGTGGTGGTCCTCATGAGAGCCAGTTTCATCATAGCGCTTGATGGTTTTTGCGACTGCAGTTGAAGAAACTTTCAAAGTTCTTGAAATGTTCCGTATTGACTGACCTTCATGTCTTAAAGTAATGATGGACTGTTGTTTCTCTTTGCTTATTTGAGCTGTTCTTGACAAAATATGGACTTGGTCTTTTACCAAATAGGGCTATCTTCTGTATACCACACCTACCTTGTCACAACACAACTGATTGGCTCAAACACAAATTAACTTTTAAGAAGGCACACCTGTTAATTGAAATGCATTCCAGGTGACTACCTCATGAAGCTGGTTGAGAGAATGCCAATAGTGTGCAAAGCTGTCATCAAGGCAAAGGGTGGCTATTTGAAGAATCTCAAATATAAAATATATTTTGATTTGTTTAACACTTTTTTGGTTACTACATGATTCCATATGTGTTATTTCATAGTTTTGATGTCTTCACTATTATTCTACAACGTAAAAAATAGTAAAAACAAAGAAAAACCCTTGAAATGAGTAGGTGTGTCCAAACTTTTGACTGGTAGTGTATGTTTTAGCGCTGCGTTCTGCGTTCCAAATGCATGTATTTCAAGCATTTGTCTTTTTGGTCTCGTCTCTATCGCTCCTCCCTTCCCCTGTCACTCACAACAACAAAGAAGAAAGATCACTGGTTGAGTTCGTTTTGCATGGCCCGGTGTCCCGGGTGGGCGGAGTTTGCACATTTTAGATCATTCCATTGGTCCTTAAGTGAAATCTCCACCCATCCGGGGCACCGGGCCATGCACTTCTTCCTCTCTGACAACAAGCAGATTCAACTCGCTATTTGTATTTGAGGTTTGCTATTTTTATTTGTACAGAATCTGTCGATTCCCCTTCTAATGATACTCTTTTTATGTCTCAACTCCCAAAATGTATAACAAAGCAGACCATACTAAAACGAGAGTATCAATGAACACGATTGTGGAAAATGTATGCTCAGTTTCTGTCGCACGCGGCATTGCGATACCATGTACCGCTAGCAGCATTTTAGCCACATACTGTCATGTGCTAGCTGTCTAGACTGTGTTTTATAAATGTGCAATGAGCATAAAAAGGCACATTTTTATATCAGGAATTGGCAACTCGTTCTCATCTGAGAAATAAGCATCTTCTTATACAGGTAGGCCACTTGATTTCAACATCTAAACAAAGTGAACAGGCTATGTTGTTCAAACAGTTGGAGACGGACAGGAGGGTGTGTTCATAACAGTTGAACTGTTCTACCTCGTTAGCAAGCAAATAGATCCAGGTTAGCTAGACTTTAAATATAAAGATCAGCTGGCTACTCACTAGCAGGTGGCCTTGTGCTTGACAGATTGTTTATGAGAACTGTGGTAATTTTCTATAATGCCTGCTACCAGAAGCTGTTGATTATTAGTGGATGTCCATTGTGCATGGTTCTGGTCATTTTTGTTAGCAAAAATTGCCTTTTTTATAGACATACTTGAAAGCCAGATCAAAATAATTTTACAAGCCCTGATTTCATTAGATTATTGGTGATAGTTTGAAATGCAGTGTATTTGACCTTTAATTGTACAACAAAGCTTATTTAGAGAAATCAAATATATATATTTTATATATATTGTGAATCGCCCATAACTTTTTTAAATCGCCCAGCCCTAGGTCATACCCAGGACTGGGTACTGATGTTGGGCCAAGGGGTTGACTGTGAGGTCCATCCCAGGACAAGAGTAGGCCTAAACCCAGGACTGGGGACTGCTGTTGGGCTAACTCCAGTCACAGAGAGCAGAGAGAGCGAACTCCAGTCACAGACAACAGAGAGAGCTAACTCCAGTCACAGAGAGCAAAG